TTAATTCTTTTAAACTAAACCCAGCTGGATTGTAATCCTGTCTGGCCAAAATGCACGGCTCCTTTTTAGCAGTCAATAGATACTTTTAAATAATAAGAATTATTAGATATCATTCTGGAAAATTAATAAGTCGCTTGAGAGGTTATCAACAAAAGAACCACCTGTTATTTATTTTTTGAAACACATTCATATGTTTATTTTTTTCTTCCCAAATTTCTCTGTAAGAGATTATGTTCACACCAATAAAGATGAATAATTCCAGTATTATTATCATTATTTGATTTTTTTTCCCTCCCACGTCTTTGTCAGGGGTGGCCAAAGCTCTGACCAAAACTCTGTATATGTGTTTCTATTTTTCCAACCCTTCCAGTTACTAAAGATGTCCTCACAGCCTCTCACAGTCAACATCTCAGTGTTTCAGGATCTGAAAATTACATATGAAACATTTGAAAGTGGGTTTTGACAGAAGTATTAGCCCTTCAGCTGCGCCACCCGACACAAACACACGCCTCTCCACACCAGAAGCAGCTGTAAAGACCAAGGATTACTGCTTTGAATTACATCTCCATCCTTTGCAGCAGTGACTACACAGTATATGCATAGTTTTTTTTTTATATATATAAAAAGCTGCACAGTGCAGTTAAGGTATATAATGTTCCAAGTTCATTTGCTATGATTTTACTGTTTGTATTAACAGAAGATGTAAGAAAGTCAGTGCATGATGATGATGTTGATTCCTCTCCATAAATAATGTAAATTATTCAGCTATATTTTTTTTCTCTTCCTTATTGCAAACTTTTTCACAGTTTGGAATTTATGGTTTTCAAACTTAATGGTTAGTAAATGTTTTAATTAGTAGGCAGAGCAGAAAGCACAGCCTGCCTCCTGGACCCTGAATGATGACTACAATGGGCTCTAAATGAGATTGTATTATTAATAATATTAATGATGGAAATGCTATTCTATCATTGTTTTTGTAAATGATAATTTGAAAGTTATTTTTGTACACACATGTTGTTTATGTCCACCACGCCCCACGTGCTAAACTCCGCCTTTCTATCTTATAAAATCACGTTTTTCACTTGTTTTGTGCCCTAACATTGTTTTGTCCTTAGGTTTCCTTAAGTTTGTGTTGTTTTTTTTTTTCCTTAAAGCTATGATACTTTACTGATCGCTTCAGTTAAGCATATCTGAGCAGTTTAAAGTTGCAAAACAACAGGAGAGACTATTTGACTGTACATTTGACTCAATTTTCTGTTCATCTCTCCACTCATTCAAACTCAGAAAGGAGCCCACCTGTGCCTTTAAGAGAGACCCCTCCCCTCCTCTCCAACCTCTCATCCAATCATCATTAGACTAAAGTGTGAGTTGATTGGCTGCCTCCTCCTCCTGCTCCACCATAACAGAAAAACACCCTCCAAATGTTTGTATGATGCAGAAATCAATCAGTAAAGATGAACCTAAAGTCGCACTTCGTCCTGTTTTTTGTTTCTTTATTCTTGCTGCTGAGATGACTTTGTCGGGTGGATAATTGAACAAGCATGAATGGATATAATTTTAAAATGCAGACAAGATGAGATAATAGCCCAGATTTATGAAGCTATAACCCTGCTTTAGAAGTTGGAATATGATGGCTTATTAATGAATTATAAATGAATCTAATGAGCGTTTAGAATAAGATGAATGGTTTAAGTTGAGACACCATGAATAGGCCAGTGTTTCTATGCAGGCTTCAAAAAATATACTTTTTTTTTTTTTTTTTTAGAACTAAGTCTAGAAAAGTAAAACAAGCCTGTAGACAAAGTGTTTCCTTTTAGGTTCTACAGTAAAAGGAAAAAATTTTCTGAATATTCCTTTATATAAAAATAATCAATTTCTTTTAACTTTCCTTTTGTTTAATCTATCCAGGGACTGATATGAGTGTCTAGTAATTATAACCTTCCATATATTCAGTCATACATGAAATACAAACAAATGTATGATGTCTAATTGCTTCTAACTGCATTTTAATATATGCAAAAATTATTCCAACAGCTACTAAGCATTCTGCAACATAATTAGTTTAAAACCATCAATTTCATGCATTATTTTAAAACTGTGTGTTCAACAAATAATATCAAAAGACTTCTCTGTTTTTTCTGATGCATATTGTGCAGAATATTACAGGATTTTATCCTGATCTTCATAAAGTGACATAAGTATAATAGGCTGACATTAGCTGGTCAATTAGTAGGACTATCTGAGCCGTGCAGCTTTCCAGACACTCTGCCGTATCTTAATAACTTGTCTTTAAACTGTTTTAAAGTTATGGTTGGCGCTTGTTTTCTCTCCATATTGTGATTGTGTGTGGGGAGGAATTTATTTTGGAAATTATTTTCTGTAAAAGATTAAAGCATAAAATGCCCACTGATTAACATAATATATGGATTTAAAAACAAATAAATGGTCATTTAACTTGGTGTGGTTCAGATGCGTTACAGACCAATATCTATTTGCACAAAAAGTAAAAGGTATATCCTAATTGTTCTTATTTTTTTGGGGATGGAAATAATTAAAGTTTGTCCAGTTGATTAAATAACAAGGTATTTAGAATTTTATTTTTTTTATCTTAAAAATATTAAATTAAAAATACTAATGTCAACACAAATGCCTGTCACTAATGTGACAATTGCTAAAGGCATAATGCGCACCTTAAAAAATTAACATTTGGTGTTTCCTTCTCTCACCTCAAAATACACATCAGGCAAAGACTTGTGATGTAATTATTTTCTGGCACTCACATGCTGTCTATTTGGATTAATTACACAGCAATAAACGCCGTTTTTGACGTGTGATTCCTGGTGCAGAGGTGGTCTTTTTTCCATCCTCTTTGATCATAACCGTGAAAATCATGACCTCTTAAAACAATGGGCCTCTGACCTACAAACATATTCTTTAGAGCCCACTCTACACACTTGGATAATCCATTTTAAGTGCATAACACTGGAGAAAAAAAATCCAAATCCTATTGAAACGTGTGAAAATGAGAGAAATTGCACTTATGCAAATTAATATCCTCTAATTTAGAGTTAAATTAGCTAAATTGGATGGTCTTTAACCATGCTTTAGGGCAGGGAATTAATTAGGCATGAGTTGCATATTTTAATCAGGAGTTCAGAAGCCATTAAGATTTCCTATTTATGGTCATATCATACATTAGAGGTTTAGAGGTGTGCTCTAAATGCTTTGTTTAAACACTGATCTATTAGCTTCACTGAAGAATGTAAAAAGCTATTAGAACAATCTTACACATCCCTGCTCAAATTCTCATCTTTTGCACCAAATATAGATTAAACTGGGTGTGTAGACAAAGAAATGTTACAATTTCTTTTTGAATCATATATATATATATATATATATATAAATAAGAGTATTCATATCCCTTTTGTCTTAAAACAGCGTTTTGTTTGAAAATATTCAATTAAAGGGGCCTGGAAGTCTTATTTCCAATAGCCTAGGTTAATTTATAATTCAAATCCCAATTAGGACATTCAGGAGACCCGAGCCATCATGCATGCAAACATTTTTTTCTGGTAGCACAACATAAATTTAAAATGTTATACATGTAGCCAGGTTGCTGCCTTAACTGGGCCACCTCAGATTCCCCAATGAGCCTTTAACATATTATGTAATGGCCTTATAAATATAGTAGCTACAGCTGAGTGTGAGCAGCAGGATACACGGCCATCTGAAGACACCACAAATCGTGTCAGCCCTCTTTAAAGTATTTATAGGTATAAAACATGAGTGATGCTCTATTTGAATTGAAGGAACACGAGATTTTTACTTCTGTTTTCCATCATATGCTCTAATCTGAACCAATTGATTATGAGAATCTTTTTTTTAACTGAAAAAAAAATTCTATTCCAATATATTAGAGGATTTACAACCCAGATTAATAAAAAAGTGAGAGAAGTGATCTTTTGTGTATATATAAGATCAAAAGAAAGCTTATCACTTTAATTACAGTAAGAGGAAGGAGGCTACTTCAGTGGCCTCCAAGAACTTCCATCAATATTGCATTAAAATTGAAAGATTCAATGGTTTTAAATAAAAAGTTGAGCATACACAAAGTCATACTTTGTTAGCCACGAAGACCTTGGAATGCAGATGGAGGTATTAATTTACTGTTTTAACTAGTTTATTCTGATGCCTACCTACATTTAACAAAAACTGAAGTCTACTGTTGGTGCAGTGTTTTTTTTTTTTATTAAATTTTTTGTTTATTCATTACTAACACAATTATTGTAATTATTTGTGGGTCCAGTCGGAGTGGGGGGAGGTTTTTGAGTGTGTATAAAGTTTGAAAAACGGCAAGTCTTTTGTAACCACGATGACGATTTATTGTTTTTACCTCTGACTTTTTAATAAAAAGATTAGGAAAAACATAAAAAATAACAAGAGGAGGCATATATTGGTTTAATTGAGTCTTGGTGACTTGATTAAAGGCCTATAAAAGTTAAACGCACCAAATCATAACCGGCATTGTTGTTTTAAACATTGTTTTAAAAAATACTATCTTATAATATTTAATTGAAAAATATTTTTTGAAATGTAAGAGTCTATGAATGTCTATTAGTGTGATTTATACAATTTATAACCATTTCTTTTGCAGAAGTAAAGTGATGTTTGGGTTGGTTTAAATAGCTTTTACCCACTTATATTAAAAATATAAATAATATATATGTATATTTAAAAAATAATATATATATATATTTAAAAAATATATATGTGGGTTTTTTTTTCCCCATTAAGCATGTATGAGGGTCCTTAATAGTGTTACAAACCCACAGAGGTTTGCTGTTTATTTACTCAGGGTTGTGACGCCCCGCCCACTGTCAATCATAAATAAGCACCGCCCAGAAACGCCATATACGTCAATCAATTGGACGCCCCGCCCATTTACAGCCTACTTGCACGTCGCGGAAAAAAAAAAAGAAAAACAGCAGCAGCCGCGGCCGTTGGGGAACAGAGTAAATAGAGGGAGAAACCTCAAGATGGCTGACTCGGAGGGCTCCGCTCACCTTCCCGGAGCTGCGGCTGTTCCTCTTTCTCCTCCGCGTGCCTCGGTCAAAAACGGTCTCGCTAAAGTAACCGCTGACAGCCACCCGCAGTATTCCGGTGCTTCTAGTCCACCGCCACCCAAGAAGCTCCGAGTCGAGGAGAGGAGCGTTAAACCGAAGAAAGTCAGCAAGTACGGAGCTGATGGAAGCAACGGGAAAAAGAAACCGCAGCTACAGAGTTGTGGTAGCAGCGGTAGCGCGGGTTTATGGAGCTTCAGCCCGGTGAAGGCGAGCAGCAGCGACCAGCCAGTGCCTGCTACCGGTGGATCCCAGCCTCTCAAAGTCTTCAAACAGAGCGATTTCTTCCTCCACAAGGCGCCTTCCTCGAAACCCAAGAGTAAAGATAAACAGAAGGAAAGGGAGAGAGAGAAGGGGAAAGGAGGCGGGGAGGAGAAAAAGAAACATAAACTGTTGTTGACCTCCAGTGTTGGGAATAATGTTAGTAGTAGCAGCAACGCCATTAAAGGGTATATCAACATTTCTGCAGCGAAGAGAGAAAATGGAGATGTCCTGTTACCATCACAAGGTAGGCCATGGTAAACTATGTCTATATCTTTAATATCATAACTTTTAGTAGGCTCGTGTTGTTCCCTTTTATAGCCACTCGGTTGATGAATTCGACCGTTTGAACGTGACCCAGTCACTGTCTGCCTTTTCATTTATCCCACTACTCCCGTTTTAGCTTCTGTTTAAAATCAATCCTTCATGAAACCATCCATAAACGAGCAGAGCGCTTCTGGAATCGATGCTCGGACCTCGAGGGATTGTTTACAGCGTATTTTAGTGGGTTTTTAAACTCTGTTTGATCGATGTGTCCACGGGCTGTGTTCTCCCAGCTTCATGTCGCTCGCTCACCCGCGCGTGAACCCCTGGAGCTTCGGTCCGTCGCGCGACCTGCTTAGTTAACAGCCGCTCGTGCTGCGGTGGAATGGTTACGTAATTAGGACGTACGGAGCAAAATTACACATTTTATTGAGATACGGAACAGCTAGTTTAACGGAAAAAACATCGGGATGGGAGGAAAGTATGTAAAACAAGGAGGAAACCTAGTTTAATTTTCATTTTTTCTTCGTCATAGTTTGGTTTCAAGTTGTGAACTAGAACTACTCGCTGGTTCTGTCAAAACAATATGACAGCCGCCCGCCATTATGGGCTAAGTGTTGTTTTGGTAGTGCACCACGCCCCCCTCTGTAACCCCAGGCTGCATGGAACACCAGCTTCCTAAAAACAATCAAAAATTGCGTTAGATGAGAAATTGTAACCTTAATTTGTTATTTACACTCTTAGAGGCAATAATATAATTTTCAGAAATTATCAGTTAAATGCAGCCTGATGTATTTTTTTCTTCATTAAATCACTTAATGTCTTAAGTAGGGTTGTCACGATACAAAAATTAAACTCGATACTGATACAGTATCAGTATCGAGTTTAATTTTTGTATCGTGGCCATGGCCACCCTTAGCCAATAATTGGCCACCTCTACCATTTATTTCCCTCTAATACAGTAATACTCTCAAGTGGAATAATTAAAACATTTAAATTTTTCATATATTAACAACAAAAAACACTGTGGTTGATTATGCATATCAATATAAAATTAAAGATTATAAATACAGAATTCAACCAGAAATAGATTTTGTGTTTTATGGGGTAAAGAGAAAAGTCATCTAGTAGTCTTTAGTGAAATCATTAATTACTATTTTAATAAAAAATTATTAAATAATCAATTTATGTAGATATTTGTAATTGTAATTACCTTTTATCTAGAAAGCACAGATGTTTCAATATATTCATCTATTTGTTAGCAAAGGCTGTGTGAAAATATAGTTTGTCTTTATTTAGAAAATAGATTTACCGTGAGATTTTGGTGCCTATCTACTTTTGTCCACCTCTCAGTGTACATTGGTTATTGCCTGGCCACCCTTATAAAAATTTTCTGGCTATGCCTCTGCAGATACTTAGGAAAATATTCGATACTCAATACCATTTCCGATACCACAAGGATAAAAACAAAGAACCCAAAATGTAAAGGAAATATTTTTATTAATAAATAAATAAACAAATACGATAAACAACATTATGAGTCAGAAAAAGGATGGATGGAAAAGAAAAATGGATGTTCCTTCCTTGGCTATGCTTTACACACATAACAATGACACTAGCTAAACCAGTTAACAAACTAAAATAAATGCTCTATCTTGGGTTTAGCTGCTAAACAGGTTGTTGGAACCCAGGTTTCTCTACAGTTAAATAGGACATACATACATATGTTTATTTTCTTAGCTTCTGGGGACTTGGCATCATATTTCCAATGTTGGTCAAACATAGATGGAAGAGTCAGCTATATTTGAGGGTGTTTGGATGCAGGTCTACTTCTCTCTGCTTCATTCTGTGACTTCAAGAAAGAAAATAACACTTTTCAGTGGTTTTGATACTTTTGAAAACGAGTATCGTATCCAGTTACAACATTTTAGTGTCTATCCTTTTTTGCGTATCGATACTTTTGACAATCCTAGTCTTTAGCCATTGCATAATACATTTTTAGCTATTCTGCATCAATGAAAGTAATTTATGCATTCTTCTATTTGAGCTTTTTTGATATTGTGACCCTTTTCACTGTATTATTATCACGAGATCAGTCCTTTTTTCCCACTTTATCTTTGTTTTTGACAAAAAATGAAACAATGCACTAATCTCAGTCCTCTGAGCATCAGCAAGGTACAAAACCAAAACAAAGTGAACACTCGAACCCAAGACAGCAACTGGTTGTCGTGATACAAAAGTCAGACAGTTTCCGAGGCTAGTTTATATGTTATCCATTTTTCTTTAAATTGAGCTTTTTTCTATCTTAAAATGAAAGTCATTCATCCCATAGTGAATATTTCCTCCACAATGTCCATCAACTGAGTATGGTTGAGTTTATTAGACATATTAAACATTAGACATTAGGCCAAGATACATTATGGTAAAAGTGAATGGAACAGAATACAACAGTACTTTGCACAGAGTAAGGTGGATAGAAGACCAGCAAGGTTTTATCTCAGTGCAGTTCCAGAAAACATGTGCATGGTTGGCGTCAGCAGTGCCACATTGCCTCCAACGCATTTGTTGGGTGGACAGTTGTTTACTTTAAATAGATGGCGTGATAAAGAATCGAACGAACATTTTCCAGTTGAATTCCCTCCATTTTAGTGAATTTGTAGAAGTCTGAGACATCTCACAGGTTTTATACCATTCTTCATTTGAAATTGTGACCTTTTCCCCACTTTTCTTTGACATACAGAGTTGTATTTTTTGACATGACATTAGGCTAGTGTATTGCTGAGAGATAAAAAAACCACACAATGTCTCCAGAACCGCATTAGGAAAACTTCTTTCTTTGATTTCCTTATTATAATATTCTCTTAGTTAGAGATCAGTTCCTTTTTAAAAATATTTAAGGCTAAGTGATTGTATAGTGGGAAAACATTAAATAGGAATTTATTGTTGCATATTTTAATAGACAAAATAGATTTGAAATGGATTTACACTTTTCTCAGTCTTCTTTTTGTATCAGGCACAAGGAATGTTATAACCTAACATTTATTGCTGCCAAGGGCTCATATAACAACATGTTGTGGTCCTATTGTCATAAATATAAAAGTGGTTATTAAAAAAATAATAATTTTTTATTCATAAGACTGTGACTTCACGTCACAGCAATCATATCCCAAAATCACAAACTGCTACTCTTGAAAATATAGACCCATTTATTTAAAGGCTAATTCAGGACACTAGTTAAATAATAATTGATTTATACCACTAAGCATCCTGTAGTAACCTCATTTAATCATAAACTTTGAATTTCTCAAACCGTTAAGGAATAAAAATAAAGGAATAGAGAAAAAAACCTGAAAAATTTAAATCTCCATTTTCTGGAGCTTTTAATCAACATTAATTCTAATTTATCATTTAGGTGATAAATCAAAGTTCTTATCATGACTAGAAATTTATCAGGATAACGATAAACGATATGATAAAAACCCATCCCATTATGCACCATTATACGCTCTGAAATTGCAATGATGATTGAGATTCAATATATTGTGGAAGTTAATTGAAATGTATTGATTGGTTTGTTAATTTACACTATTTGCTTCAGTGTGAGACTAAATTTATATACTAATTCAGTAGATTTACTGGTAGAATGCCTGTTTAAAGGCCTCTTATATCTTAAGGTAGAGGATTTGCTTTTAGCTGCACCTGATAGGAAGAATCTCTTTTGAAACATATGACCTCTAGCTTATGTTTGAGGCAAACCACAATTCAATTTCTACTGCTCAAGTTAGTTTCCTTTTAGCTTTTCTAAACAATCCTAATGCCTTAACATGCGCCAACATTTCATCTCCGTTGTGGATAATGACAAATGGCTGGTTAGTTTTCTCTCATTTCAAAAATTACACAAGAAGAAACGCCAATAAATTATATGTGGATATTATTTAATTGTCCAACCTGGTCAGATTTGTAGCATAAAGTACTTTTTCAGTTAAACATTTTTTTGCACATTTGTTGTGATATCCCTTTAATATTTTGCAAACCAAATGCAGTCAGAAGCTGCTATTAATCTTTGTATAAACATTTCTTTATTTATTAGCCAGCATTAGTCAACAAACTGTAACTAGTAACACTTGACTTAACCCTGAAAAATCTACCTCACAACAAAACATGGTGGTGGCAGCATCATGCTCTTGTTTTTTTTGTTTTTTTCATTTGAGCTTGTTGGACTTTATGCGTTTGAACCTGGTAGACAGTTTGTTAGAGGTCTGATTACATCTAATAACATGTAATCAGAAGGGTTTTAATGTGATTTTGAAAGTAATGGATAAACTTCCTTTCACTTTGCAAAAATGTTGAGTTGCTCCGTCACATAATACCCAGATTACGTACACCATCGTGTGGTTTTAATGTGAGAACATTCAGAAGGTACAAATACTTTTGGAAGGCTCTGTTTTTGTTTTCTCTACTTGTCGGTCTCCTTGGAAAACCGTCTTTTTCTTTATCTTTTTTTTTTTTTTTTTTTAAGTGTGAGGGCATGATGTCACCCTTTTGCAATTGGTCAGTTTAAGAGGTCATGACACCCTGCGAACAGCCACTGCTGTCAGAAAGGATACCAGGATAGGACGTGTTATTGGCCATGTCTCCCTGGAAGCTTAGATACAGTACTGTCAACAGACTGGATAAAATTAAGAAAAAACTGGTCTTCATCAAGATCATTCTTTTTTTAAATGACAACAAAAAAGAAGGTGAATAATTGAAATTAAAGATACTAATTGATATCTATAGTTATATTTAAACTGTTGTTCAAATAGTAAAATCCTAGTTTCTTGCTACTTATACTGTTTTTACTGCTGTAGAACATTTGTTGAATTTTAGACAGTTTAAGCCTTGAGACCAACGGGTTTCGAATGCTTTGCACAGAGTGGCACCATACTCTGTCTCAAAGGGCAAGCATTTTTCGACGAGGATCCAAACAGTATCAGATCATCAAGTAATATTATTAGTGTTGGGGTGCTGCTGTTGGAAAGAGATCCTAAGGGGAAGCGCAAAGCCGAGAGAAGGCTGGTTAAATTTGGTCTGGAAATGAGAACACGATTTAATAAACTTTTTCAGAAGTACCTTACAACAAGATATAAAGAACCACAAATTCAATGTAAAATAGATCTAAGAATAAAGGATATACGGCATGCTTGTTATTACCGGTAGTAACTGTAAAAATTAAAGAGATTTAAATTCTTTATTTGAGAAAGATTGTTTTGAGGAAAAAGTTATGCTGCTTTAAAAATATAAGCTTGATAAGCCGCAGTAATTGTCTGTTTAAAGAACTTTGTCCCTTTGAAATCCTTAGCTACCTATTTTAGCTGATTGTTGGATGCTGCAAACATCACACATTTTCACTATTCTCTCTAATGCTGGTCTGTCAGAGGTGATGAAAGGGCTTTTATATGTTTAATAATGTTAGGCATAAGGTGCTATAAGTTGTGCTCTCTTTTTTTCCCAAAAATCGTTTGACTAGCTCTAATAAATTGATACCAGGAACCAGACTGCTGCTACTCTAGACATATGGCCTCCAGACATGCCTGGGTTTGTTTTTGTTTGTTTTGATTGCTGTTTTACATTATTGTTTTGAAGAAGCTTGGAGCAGCTAAAGCAGCATGAACAGATTTATTCAGGGGAACAGGGTTTCCCTTAAGAACTTATAATTATGCAGCAACAGCTTGCTTTCATTGGAAATAAAGGATATCTAGTTTCTTTTAGTTTTTCCAGAGTAAAAAATCTCTGCCTTCACACGCCTTTCTGTTATGATTAACTTCAATTTCATTCAGGGAACATGTGCGTGCTTGGGTGCTGTTGAAAGATCCATGCTACATGTCTCCTGGATAAAAAAATGCTTTTTATTTTATAACCTCATGAATTTAACAGGCGTGAAGGATTGTGGTTCCCATTGTTCCTTAGACCCCTGTGTTTTTGGTTGTTTTATGTGTAATATATCCAAACAGCAACCAACCTTTGCACTAAGCAGAGAATTTATGTTCTTTTATTCCTCTGCAGTCCTGTACAAACAAAACAAGCATGGATTTTAATATTGATAGAGGAGAGAGAACACTGAAAGAAAGTATAATTGGTTTAAAACATCAAAGTTTATACCTAGCAATATTGAATTGATGCAAGTCCAAGTGTGGTATTGACAGGAAACAACAAGCGTACTTTAAAGCTTACCAGGGTCAATATGTTGCATGCTCGCCCAAAGATGTCTCCTAAGTAAACCATAGCAAATTAGAGCCCAGATAGTAGGGAGAAGGAAGCTGTTTTTCATTCTAAATTGGGCTTTTCAACAGACAACATCAAGCAGAAACCCACAGATGTATACATATATCTATTTTCTGATTTCCCCTCCTGAATATAAGAAGTTGAATGCAAGCAACGGGTGGTGTAGATAAAGACTGCAAACCGCCTGCCTTTGGTGTCTTTCCTGTGATCATCTGAATAGTGAAAACCACCTGCTGTGTTCCCCCTCAAAACTGATAGCTGCAACCTATTCAGAAGACAGAAAAAGCTGAACATTTATTTCTGATCACAGATATGCCTCCATATACATTTGGTCTAATGAAGCCTGTGAGAAAGTTTCTGTTTACTTCTCTGGGGTAGCCCCTTTATTCAGCTCTAATGCAGTTTTTTTTTTTTTTTTTAAGTGTCGTTGAGGTAAGGCCAGCCGCCTGGGCTTCTGCTTCCTGGATGTTATAGATAGACCGTTTATGAATCTTAAAACTATTAGCACAGTTAATGTTTACAAATCAGCAGTAAAGTTGAGGCCTTGAAGAGTTTTTAACCAAACTGATGATATGAAACCTGCAGAATGTATTTTTATGCTACTTTGAATATTTTTGTGAAAGGACTAAAGAATGAATTTTTCCCCTTGTTAGCTGGTCAAGTTGAAAACAGCTGGATTCCCGTCACCAGCTTACTTCTTTCTTCTTCTTTGATCCTGAAAACTGTGAGTGGAACAAGACTGTTCTTCTATCCACACCCTGAATATTCAGTGGAGAGAAGCATAAGGAAACACGGCTTCCTTTAAACCAGCTGGTTCTGCTGACAGGGTTAAAAGGAGAAAGTTATCTTTTTTTTTTTTAAATGAATTATTTATGGGGAGTGAAAGGGAGAAAATGATCAAAGAAGGCAAGTGATAAAAGGTTGAATCAAACTTAGAAGTTCTGTAGAGGGAGGTGAAGACTTTTGGCTCAGCTGGGAACTTTGGGTGTTTGCCAGCGTCCATGCTGCGTCTCTCCAAAAGACTCTCCAGCAACAAAAGAGGGTGTGATATTTACATTTATCTAACAGGTTTTTCTCAGTCACAAGGGTTTCATTTGAGTGAGTCTTGAAACCAGACTGTTTTTCTAACAAATGTTTTACTCTTTCAACATTGAAATGATTTTATCAGAAAGAAAGTGCCAAAGGAGGGATATTGCAGGAGTTGGATTGTATGAGCTCTGATAGAAAGAGAGCTTATTGATGATTGCTTAGCAGAGAATAGGAGAAGAAAGACAGAGTTGGAGAAAACAGTTGTGTGTGTCCTGATGAGATGTAGCTTTAGATTAGACTGCAGCGTGAAAAGGAAAATTGCTTTTTTTTTTTCCCTCCGCCGTTGTGTTTTATGCACCAAGAGTCTCAATGAATTAGAGAAACAAATGATCCTGGATTAAATGTGCATAAACCCGTTACTGTGGTTGGGGATTAAACTGAGGTATGAAACTTTTAAACTTGGGCTGCAACGATTATTTTAAAAATCGATTAATCTGTTAATTTTTTTTTTTTTTTTCAATTAATCGATTAATAATCTGAGAGCCAAAGGTTCCTTAAAGAAGATATTTTTTATGAAATTAAACCAAGTGAGGAGTTCTGGATAGAACATATTGACAGACATGTTTTTTTTTTTTGAATGCACAATGTTTATATATTTTCTTTACAATTTGAATATAATTACTGCTCTAAGTGGGTTGCTCTGTAAGCTAAATGCATGTTTTACAGTCTCTAAACTTGATTTAACGATTAACCGTTACTAAATTAGTTGACAATTATTTCTGCCTTGTTTCAGCCCTACTTTATACCACATACTTTTTGTTTGTTTTTCTCCAGAGAACCCTTGTAAAGACAAGAAGAAGGAGCGCGAAAGGAAGAAGGTCAAAGAACGAGAGAAAGAGAAGAAAAAACACAAAGTGATGAATGAGATCAAGAGGGAGAATGGCGAAGTCAAGCAGCCGATTAAAGGTTGGTGGAAGCACTCATGCATCCCAAATGATGTGACAGAATGAAGCAGATCTCTTTTTAAGCTGTAGTTCTGTTGCAGGATGTTCAGCTGCAAATGTCTTTAAACCAATTTATTACATGTTGACAAACAAGTTTTTAATATTGTGCTACTTTTCAGACTGATTGGATGGATGGATAGTTGATATATGTTCAATATCAAAATGTTTTAGTGCCCTTCCAAGGGCTGCTATGTGGTTAATTATTAGTGCGAGATGAACTTTCAAAACTCCTACTGCTCCATAAAACACCTGATGTTTCCCAGTAACTGGCTGGCAGCACGATATTAGCATCCCTGACATTAGGCTGACCTTTGTGGTGCGCCTCCCGTCACGTGATGAAACCGAGCTCATGATTTATTTAGTCTGACCCCCTGTCTTACTGTGCGCTTTTGAACTCTGATTTTAAACATCATGGTGACGGCTGTGACCCAGTGCATAAGCTCACCTCTGCAGGATAAGCTGTCTCCATGAATGGCTTTCTAGTAATTTTTTTGTTTATGTTTCATACATTTGTTTATGCTCTTATTCTTTTGTCTTAACAGTGTTTTGCAAAAAGCATGAATATCATCTGAACTTGAATTTAACTAATTTGAATCTCAAAATGTAATAAACGTATATGTGGTGGACACATGGCACAAAGCTTTGGACAAGAATTTTTAAAAAAGTCTTTTATTCTGCTACCCTAACATAAAACAAAGTGTCCCAATTTATGCATCTCAATATATATATAAAATATGATGCTACTTTGAGTAGTTCAGTTTAGAAACATGTTATAAAGAATTATTTAACTCAGAATTCTCTATAGAAGCATTTAACTACCCAAAGACATTTTAGACCAATATGGAAACTTCAGTTTTTCCTGTTTGCGTGAAAATTTCTTCCTTCCAGTTAACTTTCATTTCATATGTTTCCATACAGCTTTCTGAAAATGATGCTCCCTAGAAGCCGACTTTTTTTTTTACCTTAACCTCCTTGTTGAGTGTGTTGGTTCATGTCTGTTACAATCATCACAAATTTGGTGATTTAGATAAATATGTTTAACCCTCTGTTTTCCTGATCAGGCTGTTGTGTATTTAAAATGTCATCTTTTTTAATGAAATTAATTAGTTATCCACCACTTTAAGGGTAAAGCCTACAGAGTTCCACATGCATCACACAGCCATGTAGATCTAAATGGAGACCGGCTTTATTCCCATTGATTTGATTTGTTCCAAACCCACAGACTGACAGATCCTTTCATACTATAATGTCATGGCTGCACTGTGACATTTCAAGGACTTAGCGGCACTTTAACCACACACCATGACCAGTGGCTGCAGATGGAAATTACATAGAGATTATCTGTAATACGTCTCCCTTCCTGGTCTCCGTAGAGGGGATGTGCACCCTCGTAATGTTGATTCATCTTCTCATTACACAGAGGAGTTAGGAGGTCTAACGATAGACCGAGAGCAAGAGTGAGCTCTAATCCTACAGTCAGCCTGCGAGGAAGTCTGGTTTTTAATCATCTATGTTTTGCATAATGGAAACGCTGCAATCGTGCGTTTGATTTGGAGTCCACACAGGGTGAGGAAAAAACAAAAAAACAAAGCCAGACGAAAGTTTACTAGCTGAATGGAGGTTTTAGCAGCGCCTACTGCAGTGTTAAATCAGAGTATTAAACCTGCAAATGCTCAGAGTGACAGAGAGACTGTGAGTAGCAAGTAAGAAATCTAATCAGTGAAAGAGTGTTAAGTTTACAATTGAGAAGGAGAGAGAGAGTGAGAGAGGCAGGCAGTGGAGGAAAGGATGGAGAATCAATAAGTACCAAACGACTAATCTGACAGTAAATCTTTTTTTACCGCCCCTGAGGTTGTTTGAGGGCCTGTGTGTAAATCTAACTGTATACTTATCTGACCTTAAACAGATCAGATTGTTCAGCCAAGTGGCACAAATATTATATATATATATATATATATATATATATATATATATATATATATATATATATATATATATATATATATATATATACTCTTTTAATTTTCTGTATTTTGTTTCCTGGTTATTATTGCAACCAGAATTAAATAATAGTGTTGGACAAATTGGCTTTCTGCTGATTAAAATCTGATAAATATTCCCTTCATCTTTTCTCTCCTTTGATAAGCTTATCAGCCATGGAAAATTAGATTTTATTTTTTGTTCATTAAATACACCAAATCACAAACATCCATTTATTTATTTATTTATTTTTTGCTTTGTGAATGCATCAGAAACACTTCTTTGATGAGCTTTATTTTGATTTCAGTAAAAGCTGGTTAATAAAAGAAATGCACCAAGCTTAGCTTAGATTGTTATTAATTATTTCTACTAGAGCTGAGGTGACATGATTATAATTTATATAATTATATAAGGACTTTTTGTTGAAGACATTTTTTACTGCAGCTGTGCAATGGATTTAATCTCACTCCATAAAATATCTGCTAGCCCTCAGACATGCTGCCTTCACAGACCAATCAATCTGAAATATTATGTGATTCTGATCATCAGACAATTTTTCTCAGCTTCCTTAATTTGAATTTATGTTTTGTAGCAAATCAAATAATTGCAGTTATTTCAAAAAAGGAAATAATAGGTAATTCATTTACTTTGTATCAGAATGGACAAGTCATAAATCAAAAACTAAAAAGCTAAATATGTAGAAGTAAAAGGTTTATCAGTAAATAACTTTATATTCTTATCAGCTGGTTGGGATAACGGAAATAACCCTAAAATAGACCATTATGACTTGGCTGTTTTAGAAAGATATAAGCCTAATTTTCCACCGATCAATTAGCCCATAGAGTTTCCCATGCACTGATTGGGACAGCCTGGCTTTCTATTTTAGGAGTAAGGAAGTGGTTTCTCTCCACTGTTGTCACATTTTATCTGTATTGCTAAAAGTCTGGGTGCATTCAGGTTGACTTTTTACCAATTGGCTTTAAATGATTAGTATTATAACATTAATAATAGATTTAGCATAATCGTGTCTGAATCTGACTACATTATTGAATTAGGTTAAATAAGATTCTATATTATCTAAAATGTTTATGGTTAAAAATTAGTTACAAATTAGTGATATGTAAGCGAGCTAAATTAAACTGGATTGACATGGTTCTATAAAAAAAAAGTGACTGACAGCGTTTTACTTCTGTATCTGCTACTAAATAGCCGTTGTCTTCAACATATTCTCTAAGTTTATTTCTGTAAACCAGCAGAGCTTTGGCTGCAGTTTTATACCTTTAACCTGCTTTAGGGACATTTTCTAGGGGGTGTTTCTTCAGCTCCTTTTTTATTTCTCTTTATTAAGATCATACCGACATGATCAAGGTTGAGATGGTGGTATAGGGTGTTTGGTTTCTATTTTTGTCCATATTTAGCTCGAACTGGGGGAGGGGTGATCTGTATGTTGGAGAGCTTTTGGATTAGTAGCTCTAGTATTGTACTCTAAATACCCCATCTCTCTACTGCTCTCTTTAATACCGTCTGTCCCTCTGCTGCTCAGCAGTCTGCCCTTCCTCCCTCATCTAACAGTAAACATGTGACGCTTAAATGCTCTGGTAGTGTCGCTCACATTTATTCATGCAGAAAATATCACTAGTAAAGAAGAATTAGAATCAAGCTGGTAATTGTTTTCCTCTCGCAATCAGTCACAATTAGCACCCAGCCTAAATTTCCACGTCTAGTTTGTCTTGCTTCTGGGGTTTTTAGGAGATAAACCAACAGCACACAGTTTTATCTCTCTTTAGATATTGACAAAACTTCTGCCTGACTTAGTCAGAGCGTCTGTTCTCAAGGGATTCTGTTTCAATTTATTTTTTTGTGCACACCACAAAGAGATGCACGCGGCTGGGAAGAGCAATGACTCATCTGTCTGCTCATGTTTAAAAATAGTTGGTGCTCATTATTTTCAGTTTTCCTCTTGGAATGCGTGTTTAAAGAAGTTAAAAGATGTTTGGATAATTAAAGACTCGAGGTAGATTTTTTAAATCTTTCTGTTTAGTCTAAAGATCAGAAAAAAACTCTTAATTTGACATGTAGCCCACAAGCCTTTTCAGATAACTTTTCCCTTCACTGTTGGTATTTTTAAAAAAGGGAAGAAAAAAATTATCTCCTTGTTTTTCTGTCATCCATCCAGACGAAAGAGAGAAAGTAAATATCAACTCGGAGGAACTGCAAATCAAAAAAGTGAAGAAGAAAAAGAAGAAGAAACACAAAGAAGGGGAGAAGCACAAGCGAGTAAAGATGTACCACCGCTCCTGCCAAACCGTCTGCGCTGGTCTTCTTCTCCTACCACCTTCTTCTACAGCAGCCAACTCTCTCTCATCCGCGGAGCAAACTAATAACTCTGCTTCATCACCTTTCAAGTCTCCTCTGCCCGTTTATCTTTCACCTGATGACGAAAACTCCAAATTCTGGCCTTCTTCACCTCCTTCCAAATCATCCTTTTGCTCATCTCCTCTAAAGCCCCCATTTTCTACCAAACACGCCTCAAAGAGCATCCATCCTGGAAAGGCGGGCCTGGAGTTCGCCCCCTATATTTATATAGAAAACCACCCTAATGGAGGAGCTCTGGTAGCCCATGCGTATGCTTCTCAGCTCTCATCTCTCTCTCTGGACCAGAGACAAAGATTTGCCCAAGAGTTTGTCACTTTATCGTTCAGTGAGGACTCATCCAAGGTAAAGTGCATTCACTAAAACCTTAAAGGAATTATTATACTTTTGTCACATCCGATTCTGTTTAGCTTGATGAGTCTGTTAAAGGCTTGGGTATTTTAGGGTGCTTTAATGTGGCCCGTCTTATTCTAGAGCATTCGGACCCTAATCTGTCTTCTCCAAATCGCATCGCAGATTCTTCTTTTCTGTTACAGGCCGCTCATTATGTCATGGGAATAGTTCACGGAGAAGCCAAGAACCTCCCTGACTTCTTGGATTACTTTTCAACCAAGTTCCCATCAGCTCCAGTCAAAATGGAAATACTAGGAAAGAAGGACATAGAAACAACCACTATGGCTAATTTCTACTCTCAAGTAAGTTGAACCCATTCACAGAGAAAGAGGCCATGAAAAATCATCGATCCTATAACATTTTCACATTTTATTGCACATAAACTTTTATTAATTTAATGTGGAATGAAACAAAAATTATTATTATTATTGTTTTGCAGAAAAAGCAGCTAAAGAAGCACACTATTTTTATAATCATAGCTGCAAGGGGTTGAGGTGTGTCTCTACCAGCTTTTCACATCTAAAACTAATTTCATTTCACAATGATGCATTCGTTTTTAGTAGCCTACTGCATGAACTCCCATTAAAGTTCATTACATTACGATTTAAGCCTGACAAAATGTTAAAAGGTTCAGGGGATGTTTTGCATTTTTAGTCGTCAAACTTTCTCACACATGATGCAGGCTTGCAGCCACAGGAAGAGGTGGAGGCCTGCAAAGTTTAGCTTGTAATTTTCAGTTGTAGAAGGAGGCAGAGACTCATTCGCACCCGCAGAAGGTGCTCATGCCTGTTTGACATGAGTCAAGTTAAACGTGCTGGTGTGAGGCAAGGAAGCTGTTGTAAATTAAAATGGCCAGTGGGGTTATAACGTTGCTGTGTGTTTCCTTTGAAGGGGTTTCATAGTGATATTTATGAGCAGAATGTCTTGGTCTGTGGTTTTTCTTTCAAGTGTGAGAATTAAACCTAATGATTAGATTGAGCTGGGATCGGTATTCTACAGATGAATGAAATTACAATGAAGATGCTGCAAAGTAATGTGCTTTTATCTCCAAAATGTTCTTTCTTTTTTTCAGCCTTCCTATTGTCTTCTTGAGTCTTAATCTCTCAGAGATGATGAAGTCTTGTGCAAATAGTTCCCTTTTAAAGCTCTCCTTAAGTTTTTGGTGTCTCTCTGGCTTTATAGTTATTCTATATACATGCATTTTGTTTGGATTATATTACCGTACATCTTTTGTTTCACCTCTACATTGTACTAATTTGTTGTCTTGTATTTTAGCTTCTCTATTAGAATATGATATAGGGATGAGTTTAATTATAAATGCAGAAAAAAAAGTGAGGTGTAGTGAGATTATATAAACAATAGTGGAAGTCGTGTTGTTTACCTGCTGTGTGCTGGATAGAGCTGTGTGGGGTTTTTTTTTCTTTCGGTGGAAGCATCTCCCTTGATCTGTTCTTCATTATTACAATGTTTGGCACTAATGTTGAAAATTTGATCTTTGATTTTTATATCAGATGGCAGCATTGTGAAAAGGTTTATACAAGGCACATCTGTTTGATTTTCAGTGTTATTCAGGTTTAAAAGAAACAGAATATTAAGGCAGAACAGCTAATTTTATCAACCTCAATCTTTACAGATTGAGGTCAGTTAGGTTAACCAGGTTAATTTCTCTTAAATTAATAATAAATAGGGGTCATTGAGCCCAATTTTAAACCCGCACCCTTTTTCCCTATTACATGCATTTCCTTAGTATTTTGTATTGGGGCCTTTTAAACTATATGGATTCAGTCAGTTTGAATTTTATACCCCTATTGGTGGATTTTTAATCATTCAGGGAATCATTTATTTATTTTATGAGACTTGGATCAGAGTTTAAAATCAGCGTGAATTTAGCCAAACGGCTACATTTTAGTTTATCTAAACTTTGGACATGCCTCCAACAGGGTTTCCACGGGTCATTTTTAATTAAGAT